AAAAAGCTGAGGCAGCTATACTAATATCAGACGAAACAGATTTTAAACAAAGACTGTAATAAAAGATAAATGAAAGCATTACGTAATGATAATGGGGTCAACCCAACAAGAAGATATAACATTTGTAAATATTTACACGTTAACAAAGGAGCACCTAAATATATAAACCAAATATTAACAGACCTAAAGGAAGAGACAGTGATATAATAGTAGAGGGTTTTAGTACCCCGCTTACATCAATGGGTAGATCATCCAGACAGAAAATAAATAAGGAAACACTGGCCTTAAACAACACATTAGACCAGATGGACTTAACAAATATACAAAAAACATTCCATCCAAAAGCAACAGAATACATATTCTTCTCAAGTGCACATGGGACATTATCCAAGATAGATCATATGTTAGGCTAAAAAACAAGTCTTAATGAATTTTAAAATACTGAAATCATATCAAGCATCTTTTCCCACCACAGCGGTATATAACTTGAAATTAATTACAACAATAAAATGAAAATTCATAAATATGTGGAGTTTAAACAACATGCTACTGAATAACAAATGTGTCAAAGAAGAATCAAAAGAGAAATAAAAGAATACCGTGAGACAAATGAAAATGGAAATACAACATACCAACACTTATGGGATGCAGCAAAGCAGTTCTAAGAGGGAAGTTCATTTTTATAAATGCCTACATCAAGAAACAAGAAAAATCTCAAATGACCTAATTATACACTTCAAGGATCTAGAAAAAAAGAACCAATGAAGCCCAAAATTAGTAGAAGGGAGGAAATAAATGAAACAGAGACTAAAAAAAATAAAAATAAAAAAATAGCAAAGTTCAATGAAACTAACAATTGGTTTTTGGAAAAGATAAACAAAATAGACAAATATTTAGCTAGACTCATGAAGAAAAAAAGAGCAAAGATTCAAATAAAATCAGAAATGAAAGAGGAGGCATTACAACTGATACCACAGAAATAGAAAGGACCATAGGAGACTACTATGAACAATTATATGCCAACAAATTACCTAGAAACCTAGATAACCTAGAAAAAATGGAAAAATTTCTAGAAATATATAACTTACCAGGACTGAATCATGAAGAAACAGAAAATCTAAACAGACATATTAGTAGTAAAGAGATTGAATCACAGACCTCCCAGCAAACAAAAGTCCAGGACCAGAGGGCATTACAGGTTAATTCTACCCAACTTTCAAAGAAGAATTAATACCAACTTTCTCAAACTCCTCCAAAAAATGGAAGTGGTGGGAACAGTTACAAACTCATTTTATGAGGCCAGCATTACCCTGATACCAAAACTAGACAGGGATACCACAAGAAAAGAAAACTACAGGTCAATATTCCTGATGAACATAGATGCAAAAATACTCAACAAAGTATTAGCAGACAAAATTCAACAAGACATTAAAAGGATAATACACCATGATCAAGTAGGATTTATTCCAGGGATGAGAGGATGGTTCAAAATCCACAAATCAATAAATGTAATAACAGCACATTAATGAAATGAAGTATAAAAATAATATAATAGCAATAGATGCAGAAAAATAATGACAAAATTCAACATCCATTTATGATAAAAACTCTCAACAAAGTGGGTATAGAGGAAACGTACCTCAATATAATAAGGATCGTGTATGATAAGCCCACAGCTAACATCATAGTCAATGGTGAAAGGTGAAAGTTTTTCCTCTAAGATCAGAGACAAGACAAGGATGCCCATTCTCATCACTTCTATTCAACATAGTATTGGAAGTCCTAACCACAGCAATTAGACAAGAAATAAAGGCATCAAAATACAAAAGGAAGAAGTAAAACTCATCATTTGCTGATGACCTATTACATTAGAGAACTAAAGACTGCACCAAAAAGACCCCTGTAAGAACTAATTAATGAATTCAGTAAAGTTGCAGGATATAAAATCAATATATAAAAATGTGTTGCATTTTTATACATTAACAACAAACTATCAAAAAGAGAAATTAAGAAAATTCCATTTACAATTACATCAAAAAGAATGAAATATCTAGGAATAAATTTAACCAAGAAAGTGAAAGACCTGTATTCTGAAAACTACAAGATATTGTTGAAAAAAAGTGAAAAAGGCACAAATAAATGGAAGGATATACCAGACTGACTGGTTGTAAGAATTAATATTGTTAAAATGTCTAACCTACCCAAAGCAATCTACAGGTTCAATGCCTATCAAAATACTAATGACATTTTTCACAGAACTAGAACAAACAATCCTAAAATACGTATGGAATCACAGACAATAAATATCAAAGTAATCCTGGGGAGGCAGAACAAAGCTGGATGCATCATATTTCCTGATTTCAAACTATTTTACAAAGCTATAGTGATCAAAACAGTATAGTATTGGTATAAAAACACATATATAGATCAACGGAAGAGAATAAAGAGTCCAGAACAAACCCACACATATATGGTCAATTAAATTATAACATAGGAGTCAAGAACAGACAATGGAAAAGGGACAGTCTTTTCAATAAACGGTGTTGGGAAAACTGGACAGCCACATGCAAAAGAATGAACCTGGACCACTTTCTTACACCATACACAAAAATTAACTCAAAATGGATTGTAAGACGTGAAAACAACCTCCTAGAAAAAAACATAGGCGGTAAGCTCTGTGACAATGGTTGTGGCAATGATTTTTTAGATTTGACACCAAAGCAAAGGTAACAAAAGGAAAAATAAACAAGTGGGACTACATCAAACTAAAAAGCTTCTGGACAGCAAAGAAACCATCAACAAAATAAAAAGACAACCTACTGAGCAGGAGAAAATATTTTCAAATCCTATATCTGATAAGAGGTTTATATCCAAAATATATAGAACTCACAACTCAATAGCAAAAACCAAACAATCTGATGAAAAAAAGGGCAGAGGATCTGAACACTTTTTCCCAAAGACATACAGATGGCCAACAGGTACATTAAAAAAATGCTCATCAGCAGTTTTTCCTCTGTGTCTCTGAAACTATTTCTGTTTACATTACTTGTTTCTTCAGTTTTTTAAATTTCACATGTAAAGTGAGATCATATGGTATTTGTCTTTTTCTGACTGACTTATTTCACTTAGCATAATGTTCTCTAGGTCCATCCATATCGTTTCAAATGGTACTATTTCCTTCTTTATAGCTGAGTAATACTCCATTGTATAAATGTACCATAGTTTCTTAATCCAGTTGTCTACCGATGGGCATTTCGGTTGTTTCCAAGTCTTGGCTCTTGTAAATAGCGCTGCAATAAACATAGGGGTGCGTATATTTTTTTCCAATTAGTGTCTTGGGTTTTTCTGGATAAATACCTAAGAGTGGAATTGCTGGGTCATAAGGTAGTTCTATTTCCAGTTTTTTGAGATACCTCCATACTGATTTCCATAATGACTGCACCAATCTGCAGTCCCACCAACAGTGCACCAGGGTTCCCTTTTTCCCAGAACCTCACCAGCATTTGTTGTTTGCTGATTTATTGATGATAGCCATTGTGACTGGGGTAAGATGGTATCTCATTGAGGGAGAAGGGGAAGGGACGAGATAACATAAATTGGTAACTACAATATTGCCTCAGGGATAGAAAAGACAGTTTGGGGAATGTAATCAATAATGCTGTAAATACTTTTTAGAGGGCCAGATGGACTCATGTCTTGTTAGGGAGACCACTTCATGGATGGTGTAGAGGCCTGACCACTGCACTGTACATCTGAAGCTGCCATTGAATAATATTATATGTCAACTATAATTTAATACATATATAGTCATGGCATGTGGAGTAGAGTGTGGGAATGGAGTCAAGGGAATTGGAATAGATACGTATGAGATCGTGGGAGGGCAGTGGATGGGGGGAAGGGGGTTGTCATTTTCTGAGGGGTGAAAAGGATAACTAGTGCACTGTTTTGTACACCTGAAACTAATCATCATCATCATCATCATCATCATCATCATCATAATAATAATAAAATGCTCAACATCACTAATCATCAGGGAAGCGCAAACAAAAGCCACAGTGAGATAGCACCTCACACCTGTTAGAATGGCTATTATCAAAAAGATAAGAAGTGTTGGTGAGGACATGGAGAAAAGGGAACCCTTGTGCACTGTCAGTGGGAATGTGAATTGGTGCAGCCACTATGGAAAACAGTATGCAGACTCCTCAAACTAAAACTACCCTATGATACAGCAGTTCCACTGCTGGGTATTTATCCAAGAAAATATCCACTTCTGGGTATTAACTTGAAAAGAGAGAAGCACCCCCATGTTCACTGCAGCATTATATACAATAGCTAAAGTATGGAAACAATCTAATTGTCCACTGATGAATGAATGCATACAGAAGATGTGGTACATATACAATGCAATATTATTCAGCCATAAAAAACAATGAAATCTTGCCATTAGCAATGACATACTGGACCTTGAGGGTGCTGTTCCAGTTGAAAAAAGTCCTACAGAGAAAGATAAATAAGTCATGGGGATGTAATGTACAGCATGATGACTGTAGTTAACAATACTGTATTGCATATTTGAAAGTTGCTAGCACAGTAAATCTTAAAAGTTCCCATTACAAGAAAATAAAAAAACTGTAAGTATGAATGGTGATGGGTGGTAATTAGACTCACTGTGGTAATCATTTTGCAATATATACAAATATCGAACCATTACGTTGAACACCTGAAACTAATTTAATGTTCTATGTCAATTATACCCGAAATATTAAAAAAAAACAAAAAAACAAGCATCCCAGGTACTTTTATGGTCTGGTGAGGCTGAACGTCTGTACCCTGTGGTTTGCCATTACTGGTGAGAGGCTAAGTGAGGGAGGTGTTGGTGAGCTAAGATAACCTGAGCATGCGAGCAGGACTCTGTCCAGTTATTATTCTCTGAGTAATTGTTTTGGGGACATTGGCCATCATCAGCAGGGCTATTCAGCTGTAGCTAAAAGCAAACTTACCATGCAACGACTTCATCCCCAAGGTGTAGGAAGGCCTCCGCAATGGAAGAGACTTGGGGAGAGAAGGGTAGGTGCTACTGAAGAGGACATCGTTGGGCAGGGCTTGGTCCAGAAGCGAAGCCCTTGAGGTGAAAAAGTGCTCCCTCTGGCCACTGTAAATGCTCTCATCTGACAGCGTTCTGTGCAAGGCCCGCCGTGAGGTGGGGGTGGTAGGAAATGGAGACTGGGGCGAGGAGAGCGCATGGAACTGCAAAACAGTGTCGAGACAACAGAAGGTCAGTTTTCTGGGTCATGCACCTAAGACAGTTGGGTTAACACAATCACTGCTCTCAGACACACCTCTTCAACTCCTGGAGCCCAACAAGGAAGTGTCACAGTCCACCATTGTTGCCTATATCCTTCATAGCGAACATGGGAGTTCCTGGTCACATCCTCATAGCCCAGAATGCTGCCTGCAGCCTATCTGAGCTCAGTACATAATTCAGACATGTGACTGAGTGAGTTCATCAATATTGGGTCATAGTTAAGAACAACATGAGGATCAGACACATGTGAGTTGTATTTGAATCCTGTGTCATTGACCAAATCATGTAATCTCTCTGAACCAAACTCCTTGTCTAAGAAATGAGGGAACAGCATCTCTCAGGATTATTACAAGGAATAAATGAAACACTGGGTTGATTGCGATAGCATGCATCAATGGTATTAGGAAATAATGTGATGGCCCCCAGGGGAACAGCCATGGTGCCAGGAAGGGATCCCCAGAAGCTTGTCAAGTGACTACATGTTTGCTAGGCAACAAGAGCACTTGATCATCACAATATATTAACTCAGATAACAGGTGGCTCTTGATAAACATTAAACTATAATTATATTTAATGAGTTTTGGCAATAATTTATTTTTTGAGATAGATTTTGATTCATGAAATGAAAACAGGGAGGTCATCTTCATAAATGACAAACATTTATATAGTTATATATAAATGACAAAAGTTCCAGATAGCTGTATCTCTTGCTGATGTCTTTTGCCTTTGTGATCAGATTTGATTTTACTTGAGGTTTTTCTGCCCAAAGCAAGCGTCTGAGAACCCCATTCATTGAGAAACAACAGACACAGTAACAATATTACAAATATCCAGCACCCTGAAAGCCAGTAGAGCATTTGGTCTGTAACAGTAAAGCTATCTTTATTCAGTTCCTCTTAGAATACGGTTCACCTTGGCAGGGAGAACAATGTGGGGAACAGGTGAAGAAGTGAGTAGGAGGGCTGAGTCACTGTGGGCAGAAAGCCACCACGGGACTTTTCAAGACACGTTGAAGGGCAGAGAGAGAACGATACAGCAACGAATCCATGAAGGAAGGATGCTGAGAACACAGAGTTGACCCTCAGGTTCATTCATGGGCTTTGGGTCTAACACGATTCCCTTCAGCAAGCTAAGGGTTAATCAAATCAGCGCTAACCACAATGCAGTGTGCACAGTTGCTGCATAAACATGAAAATTATTAATCAAGCACATTGTAAATCAGCCCCAGGTGTAGCCAATTGTGTAAAAATTGTGCTCACTTTTAAAAATTCATGATGAGCTAAACAAACCCAAGGTACGGATGTGCTTGCCTAGAAAACTAAGCTGTTATGATAAATGCTTCATGCGTCTTTAAGTGGAGGATACTTGGTATGGAAATGATTTCTCTTCTCACTCTACAGAGAAGAGGGCATTAGAGAGGTTAAACGGCTTGCCAATTGTAATTAAAAAACAAAACAAAACCCCTTCTTCCCCCCCAAAAAAACCAGTTCATCGCTCATCTTTTTGCAAGGTTCTAGGACGACCGCAGAAGGCTCCTGCTTGTCACTCAGCTCTCAGACCGCTTAAGAACTGCTCTCAATCTTTTTTAGTACCTGTGTTCAGCAGAGGGCTTTCCTCCTCCAGTGAGTATCCCCACCCTGATGGTTTTACAGGAGAGAAATTTCCCACCCCTTCTAGCTTCAGCCTCTTTGGAAATATTAATATACTTCAAGGCAGTAAACAGCTGTCTCGAAGAGGTCCTTGGAGCAGCATGCTTTATTAAAAGTTATAACATCCTGCAGTAAAGGGAGGCTGGGTAGGAAATGGAAGAAAGCAATCTGCCTAGATGCTTTCTGCCCATTATAACATAGCAGGACCTAGGCTTGTCTAAACCCATTAGGATGGCTCCTCACCGCATCCCTCTTCTATTCTAGCCTTAAAGATGTGTCCGCCTCTCCGGATCCTGCAAGTGCCCTCCGTCTTCCTTGCAGGTCAGAGTGGAGACTGCTGAGTGGCCCCGCTCAGGGCTGCCAGCCCCTGGGAAAGAACCACAACGGTGTTGATGGCCGACGTGGAAGAGATTTTAAAGAGCATGAAGCCAGAGGTTTTTCAAACTGTGCTCCAAGGAGTCCTAAGGGTTCCTCACAGCATCACCTCTTGGTGACAGGAGATATTCAGGTGGGACCCAGGAGCCCATGACACCCACCCCTCCCATCAGAGAAGCTCTGCTTTTTCAGTTGTACATACTGGGCGTCCATGTATAATTTTATTCTAAAAAAGGGTTTTTGAGCTTTAAAATCACTTGGGCACCATTGATCTACTCTGCTCCTCTGTTTGAAAGCTGAGGAATAAGGCCTAGAGAGGTGGCATCTTGCTCCACGACAGTCTCCTGTTCTCCCCTCACTCTTTCCAGGGCTCCTGGCTATTAGTAAAATGGGCTGCCTGCACTTGCAATTAGGGCAAGTATCAGGTTTTCCTACACACTGGAGCTGCCTGAGGCTTCTTCCTTTGGTCTGTACCTGGAGAGTGTTGGCTGGAAAGTAGTTTGTATCACTGCCTGTTCACTTGCCACTGTATACAGCCCTCAGGGAAAAGAATGCCATCCCATCTCTGCCTGCCAATGAGGTTTCTTAGAGTGTTACACTCTGCCACTTCCCTTGAGGTAGGAGCTCTGCAGCATCTGTGTGAGGCCCTGCAGCCACCCACCTCCCAGCTACAGCCTGCTCAGCAGTGCGCTGACACAGACATCAGAGCTCTGCAGCAGACATCTCACTCTGCTGGCAAATGAGCCTGGGTGTGACCCTGCCCTTTGATATTAATGACCGCTCATAGGTAGCACTTGCTAATCCAAGAAAGCGAGTTTGAGTGGGTTCCCAGTATCATAGCTTGAAGCTGGCCAATCCTGGTACCCTGAAGCCTGATGCAGTGGCTCAGAGCCTTGAGCCAGGATGACCTGAAAGACTTCTCAAGGGCACGCTGGCCTTACTGACATAGCAGATTCACGGTCCTTTAGATAACAGATCTCAGAAGACATACAGAGCTACTTAGCTGAACTCGTCTGAAACCAAACGAAAAAGGATGAAACTGGAGAGAAAACAGGTTATTTCCAGTTCCTGCTTCTAGCCACTTTACAATAATAGTGTAGTCAGAAGAAGCATTTTCTGTCAGAGGGTCTGAGAGTAATAGTCACAATATAAAGAACGTGCACCCCTGTTTCACATAGGAATGTTAAAGTAATTCATTTTGGAAATAAAAGCCAAGATCTAAAATGGGGCAAAACAGACATTTGCTTTCAATTATTTCCACTGCATGCATAAATCAAAAGAATGAAAGCTTTAAGCCTACCCCTTTCCAAAAAATGTTAACTTAGAATTGGACGAAAGATTCCTTTCATGGCAAGTTTGATTTTCCTCTAAACTCAAAGGACAACTGTGAAATAATTTTTATTTATAAACTGGTCCTTAAACATTTTAATACACCTCTTTGGGTTTTGATGGATAAAGACAGAAGTTTCAAGTGCTATCTTTTGCGAGGTTGCTAAGGAAACCATTTGTACCCCGGGTGATGAGTCACAACTGTTTAGTGCTGGCTTATAACACAGGAATCAAGGATGGCAAGTCTTTAAAATGATTTATGATCTTAATGTTTATGTTAATAAATCATTTCTTTCTCAAAACTCCAGAATGGTCTTTGCAGTACCTTTAATTTCTCTAAATGTTGATATTTAAGTTTAGGGGGTACCTGACCTATCTGGAGGCAAATGCACACTGAGGCATGAATGTGTGCACACACACTAGAATGGTGGTGAGAAAGCCGGAATGGGACAAGACCACCCAACAACTCCAGATGGGCACGCCCCCTGCATTCTGATCAGTGTGAGGATGGTGAGTGGTTACTAGTCTAGCTTCCATTTTCAGTCAATTCTCAACGTTCTTTTTTTTTTTTTTTTAAGCTGAGCCATCCTGCCACCTGTTGGCAGCTCAGCGGCTGCTCAGCTCGGGCCGGGACTCGAGCCGCTATTGCTCAGAGCTCAAACTCTTGAGCGAGCTCTTCACCAACTGAGCCACTTGGCCGGCCTCAACGTTCTTAAATTAAGCTTTCTATAGCCACTTCAAACAGACTACCAATCATTTAACTAAGAACCTAGTGAACAGAACACTTCAAAGTTTACTGCCATGACCTTCCTGGGGTTGGACTCCCTTCTCCTGGGGTTACCCAATACACCTCACACAGAAATGCCCTATGCTCAGAGTAAAATACCTTTGGGGCTCACTCAGCAAACACCAGCTCCGAGCCCTGGGAGAGTGAGACTGCACACTTCAGAGAACAAGAGTGAGAGCCTTAAGTTGGCTTCAGGGGTCCTCCAAGCTGAGGTGAGCAGAGCAAACCCTTTCACGTGATAGTGCGAAGGGCTGGCCACTGACACACAAACAAACTCTGAGCAAGTGCTCAGGACTTGATGGGGGTGTGGGGTGGCGGAGGGGGGGGGGAGCTGGGTTCTAGAGAAGGCATCTGTGGTCTGGAATTCTGAGATGGAACAGAAGAGGCTTTATGAGGTAAAGTCTGGAAAGTTCTGAAGGTAAGTTTGTAGTAGGATTTAGTTTGCTGGACTGAAGAGCACACAGTGTATGGCCATAGGTTTGCCTGACTGGGGTTAGGAGGCAGAAGCAAAGTCAGAGTGCAGGGTCCTGTGGGCACATAGGGCAGGGGCTATTTGTGTGGGAGAAGGGGAACCCTTTGGACAGAAGGCACTAAAGCCCTTACAGAAAAATTTCTGTCTGACAGGGAGCCACAGTTGTCTTTGTAGAGTTCTAAGAAGCCATGGCATTTGATGCCATAATGTTCAAGAAAGAGTGTAGCTTGTGCACTATGAGTAGGATGCACTGGAAGAAGAAAAGGCCACGGGGTAGGGACAGACTACTATAATTCAGACTAAAGATGTGGCTGCAGGAACAGAACGTTTGGAAAACACTGAACTAATTATCGGGAAGACTGTATGATGGCGGTAAGTGGGTTCCAATGAGGAAGAGCAGGGAACCAACACTTCTTGGAGGGTGTAACTGCGAGCAGCTCTGTCCCATCTGAACTCTCATGCTATTTACCCCAAGGTCTGCCCAGTACCTTAAAGTTCTTCTGGGATTCGGGAGTTGGACTTTCAAGGTCGATGAGTTTCTTGAGATCCTCCTCAATGGTGGACTTGGAGGTTGGCTTAGGGGATGCTCGCAGGTCCCTGGTTGAGGCACGTAGCCTGGTGTGGGATATTTCATTGCCATCACTCTGATGACGCCTTGAAAAAAAGGAAAGAGATGGTAGGAACTAAATCAGTAAGATTGACTGAAGGGGCACAATGGGTTCTGAAGGATGTAAGTCAATGGAGAGATTACAGGAGAGAAAAGGAGAATTGCTTTTGTTCAATTACATTAGAATCTACTTGGATAAATACTTGTTAAAGAAACAATACCAATTTGAAACACAAAATAAAAAGTCTGATAAATAAATCACTCTTTTACAGGAAACTCTTAGCTCTACTAAACCAAAATTAGCAACAGACTTACTAATAAAAGATCCCAGTGTATGAATCCCAAATGCAATCTTTGTATAGACAAAAACAAAATAATTGATGTTTTTCTTCTGTACTACTTTGTAAAAAAGTCCTTTATATTCAGGGGTAGTCACTTACTTTCTAATATTTCCTCTCGTGCCTCCTGGCCCCGGTAAGAATTACATGGGAAGACTGTGATTACTATCATCAAAGGGACAAGTGTGGTCTTTACAACAGAGGGTCGATCATTCTGAAGTTTGTTCTTCAGATATACAGTAATCCCCCCTCACCTGAGGTTTTGCTTTCTGTGGTTTCAGTTACCCACAGGTAACCATGATCCGAAAACATTAAATGGAAGATTCTAGAAATAAACAATTTATAAGTTTTAAATTGCACGCCATTCTGAGCTGAGTGATGAAACGTTGCACCGTCCTGTGTAGGATGTGAACCCTTCTTTTTGTCCAGCATATCCATGCTGTATATACCACTCACCTATTAGTCACTTAGCTGTCTCAGTTATCAGATCGGTTATCAGGCAGAGAGACCACATTCACGTAACTTTGATTACAATTGTTCGACTTCATTATTAGTTATTGTTGTTAATCTCTTACTGTGTGATTAAATTTTATCATAAGTATGCATGTATAGGAAAAAACTTAGTATATATAGGGTCCAGTATTACCTGTGGTTTCAGCCATCTATTGGAGGTTACAGAAGGTACCCCACATGGATAAGGGGGGACTACTGTACTCTTCCCTATGAGATCTAAGATTCTCAAATCTGAATGTATTGCAATACATCTTATTTAAGGAGAAATAATTTAAGACAAGTTTTATTTAGGAAAAAAAAATAATAATCTCCCTAACAAACCAACCCTTCCTTAACTGCCAGCCTGGCTCCTCAGTGGTAGAAAACTGCCCCAAGCTTTTCCATTCTCAGTCATGTGAAAAGCAAACTACCCAGGAAAAGAATTCTTACTTTCGTGTGTCCATAAATCCCACGGAGTTTATGGTTCCTTCGGGTTTTTTCCATCCAATCAGGTACTTGCTAGTAGCACCCTGGCGAGGGTAGAAAGTCCTGGGACCCGATGAGGAGGATGAGGAAGAGGAGAAGGAAGGGGCAAGTTGCGAGGAGGTGGCAGGATGAAGCTCCTCTTTGGGTGAACTTCTGGCACTGGTGAAGACAACTGGGCTGGCCGAGTGACGGGAGCTCATGGTGCTGGGGAGAGGCAGGACAAGGACAAAATGACCCAAGTGTGCACGGGCGCATCCGGAGTCAATACGTTAGCTATAAAAGTGTCATCCAGGATGCGGTTAGGGCCGGGGTAAAGAACAATGAATATTTCATAAAATATTAATGGGGATGGCTTGCTGGCCTTAACTTGCTTTCTCACTATAATTTAAATGTCTGTTGTCAAAGTGAGCGACGGTCACTGGGGCTCAGTGTGCACTTTTGTTAAAAAGGAATAATAGTTAAGACTGTCAGGGGCACTTTGAAACATGCCGGCACCACTTAAGTTTGTTACTGTGAAGTCTAGAAGAGGCAAGTGATGGGAGAGTCTGCAGTAAAAGGTCTAGGAGTCTCAATGGCCGCCTGTCTTGCCTTCCTCAAAACTAAAGGACATGGTGACTCTCCCCAGGCCCAAGCCAAGGAGGGGAGAGGAGATTGGATCAGGCATACAGTTTTCCACACACTCACATCCAAGGCCAAAGGGACATACTGAGGCCTCTTACCCCATGGCATCTGGCATTAATATTGACTGTAAACGTCTGTTCAGGAGAATGAACTATCTTACACTACACACAAAAATCAACTAAAAATGGATTAAAACTTGAACATAAGATCTGAAACCATAAAACTCCTAGAAGAAAACATAGGGGGTAATTCATCTCCTTGACTTCGGTCTTGGCAATGATTTTTTTGGATTTCACACCAAAAGCAAAGACAACAAAAATAAACAAGTAGGACTACATCGATTTAAAAAGCTTCTTATAGCAAAGAAATCCATTAACCAAAAAAGCAACCTACGAAATGAAAGAAAATATCTGATAGGAGGCTAATATCCAAAAAATATATATGTATACAGAGCTCATACAACTTAATAGAAAAAAAAAACCAAACCGATTAAAAAATGGGCAGAGGATCTGAACAGACATTTCCCCAAAGACAAACATACAGATGTTCAACAGGTACATGAAAAAGTGCTCAACATCACTAATCATCAGGGAAATGTAAAACCACAAGGTATCACCTCACATCTATAAGAATGGCTATTATCAAAAAGACAAGGAATAATAAGGGTGGGCAAGGATGGGGAGAAAAGGGAATCCTTACGCACTGTTGGTGGGATTGTAAACTGGTTCAAACACTACGGAAAACAGTATGGACTTTCCTCAAAAAATAAAAAACTAGAACTACCATATGATCCAGCAATTCCACTTCTGGGTATTTATATGAAGAAAACAAAAATACTATCTCAAAGATATCTATTCCCCTACATTCATTGCAGCATTATTTGCAATAGCCAAGACATGGAAGCAACCTAAGTGTCCATCAATGATAAAAAAAATGTGGTATATAGATATATACACACACACAATGGAATACTAATTCAGCAATAAAAAGGAAATCCTGCCATTTGCAACAACATGAATGGACTTTGAAGGGCATTATGACTTATGTGAAATAAGTCAGACAGAGAAAGACAAATACTGTCTCGCTCATATATGTAAACTAAAAAAACCCAAACTTATAGAAACAAAGAACAGACTGGCAGTTGTCAAAGGTGGAGGGTTGGGTGGGTAAAATGGGTGAAGGTGGTCAAAAGGTACAAACTCCAGTTAGAAGATAAATAAGTCCTGGGGATGTAAGGTACAGCATGGTGACTAAAAATAAAAAATAAAAATCTCTTCATCATCAATGTATTTTAAACTTTGGTTAAAGATTACAAAACTAAAGTCTATAGCACTTAAGGAGAAGGCTACTCATTATACTTTAAAACTCACAAAGACAGAATTTTTAAAACTAGGGATGAGAGTTCAAGTTGAACACAAACCAGAGGGCCTTTAATTGTAGGATTTCCACACTTCCTTCCTGGTGATCTCATAGGACCCAAGTTCTCACTACTTGAGCCCTGCTGAGTTCTCTAGCTTAGGCTGAGACCCAAGACAGCTGACTCTTACTACGATGGACTTTGTTACTGAAGGTTTAGTTAACAGGATGTGGTCTCAAAGCATCCCATCATAGCACTTGCACTTGTCAAAAACTAATGGTCCTAATTGAATAATGTATGAACTTTGGTTAATAATACCATATCAATATTGATTCCTGAGCTATGACAGATGCACGATAGTAATGTAAGATGACAACAGGGGAAACTGGGTGAGGGGCATATGAGAACTCTCTGTCTTACCTCTGTAAATCAAAACCTATTCTAAAATTAAAAAACTAAGAAAAAATACCCCAAACAAACAAAAACAAAAGAAAAACCAAACAAACCAGAAAACCCCAAACCCTAATGCTCCTGAGATAACACATATAGGTGAAAATTAATCTTGAACCCCCACCTCAGATATATACAAATCAACTCCAGCTGGATTATTTAAATGTAGATCTAGACAGTCTAGAGTATAACACGGAAAATATTTTTATGACAGATGCAGAGGTTCTTTAATAGGATCATAAGGGAAAGGACTGTACCCCATTAAAAGAACTTCTATTCATGCAAAAACAGAATAGGAGAATTTATGTAAAATATATATCCAACAATGGGTTCCTACCCAGAATATATAACTAACTCCTAAAAGTCAACAAGATAGACAATCCAATAGAAAAACAGGCAAATATCTGAAAAGGAATTTCCCAAAAGAGGGCCAATAAACATTTGTGCTCAACAGCATCAGTTATCAAGAAAATGAAAATTAAAGCCACAAAGAGGGGCTGCTACACACCCACCAGAATGACTAAAATTATAGACTTCCAATAACAAGTGCTAGACAGGATGTGAAGCAACTAGAACTTTCATACATGGCTCGTGGGAGTGTTACCTGTTACAACCACTTTGATAAACTGGTTCATATTCTCTGCAGAAGTTGAGTGGATATGTATCTTATGACTCAGCAATCTCACTCCTAGGTACACACCCAAAAGAAATTCATACATATTGTGTACCAAAGGACATGTATAAGAAATCTATAATATCCCTAAACTGGAAACGCTTGAAATGTTCCTCAACAGTAGAAAGGATAAATGAGTTGTGATATGTTCCCACAATGTAAATATACTGCAGCAACGAAAATAAACTAATGCTACCTGCGACACATGGAATGACTCTCCCCAACATAATGGTGACTTAAAGACACCAGACACCGAATAATGCGTGTGGTATGATTCCATCTATATAAAGCCCCCAAATAGGCACCATCAATCTAGAGTTTTAGGATTCAGGATTGTGTCTACCTTGGGGAGGAGATGGGGAAGGTGTGTGGGGAGCAGGGTGTCTGGATGCTGGTCATGTTCCAGCTCCTGATCTGGGTAGTGATGACATGGGTGTGTTCATTCATCTCCATACCTGTCCCTAGATTCTCAATATGCATGTTGTATTTGAAACACACTCACAAAAATAAAGCAAAAGGAGGTAACCCGAAAGGAAAAGGTCTTATTAGTCCACGAGGCTCCGCGACAGACTGGAGAGAGTTGAGCACGGTGTGGGGGGAGGAACAGAACACAGAGCAAAGGTGATCTGGGGCGTTTTCCACACTAACTGGACCTTATTACTTCAGATCAAATATGACGAACCACCTCCTTCATTTTTGTAACTAAGGAGGAGGAACTGGGCCCAAACTTTACAAAAAAATATAATAATAATAAATGACTAGCCACACTCCAATCCCTCCAACAATTTTTTTTCCCAAATATTTTTCTAGCTGGAGGGGATGGAAATCCCACTCCCACCCCCAATATCTCCAAGGGAACATAAATTGAAGAGCGATACAATCTCACATAGTTTTTACCCCTTGATAACAAATATCCCATTTGTTTGCTTTTAAACTTAAAAAAAAGGGAATGTAAAACTCTTCCATAAGTGTAGTGCATTAGATCAGTAAAAACAAAATAATAGTAGGTTTCTGTTGTGGAAAGAGAACAGAAAGGTGCATCAAAAGAAAAAAGGGAGTGGGAAAGACTTTATATAGATTGAGGCAGACAGGCTCAGAGAGAGTGCCACCAGAGACCCAGGTTAACAATGATGTGCATGAGCACAGGGAGCATCTGCAGCGGTTCCCAACTTGTGGGTTGCAACCCCTTTGGGGGTCGAACGACCCTTTCACAGGGGGTCGCCGGGTACTTGTATGTGGGTGTATCTGCATGTGGGCCTGGAGATGGATAGAGGAGCGGTGTCTCAGTTCCTAAGACCACCGAAAATACGTGTTTTCCGATGGTCTTAGGCAACCCCTGTGAAAGGTTGAGAACCGCTGATCTAGAGAGAAGCTTCTGAAATGGTTAAGAGTGCAGCCTTTGGGATGCTTTAAAGCAATGATAGCCTTGTGGCTCTTTGTTAGTTACTTAACGACAAGATCTAATCTTTGGTTTGCAGATTTTTTTTCACCTGACTCTAACTACCCCATACACATTTTATAGCTCAAATGTGGTGATGTCTGAAGCCTCAACTGTGATTAGTGTCTGAAGCAGATTTCAATAAAGTAGAACGCAATGAATCAGGGTCTAACGCACACATCTCTCAGCTTGGATAATCATGTGCTGGTTTTACCTGACTTGATTAGAAGTCACAGGTGAGCGCGAATGTGTATGAATTACTAGAGCTGGTTCTCACACTGTTAAAATACAGATTGCAGGGCCCCACCTGAGATTCTGATTTAGTAGGTTGGGAGGGGTGGAGGGACACAAGAATTTGCACTGTGGTCCCTGCCTCAGACTGAGAACCACTGTACCCGAAGTACATCTGAACTGCCCATAGGTTATCTTTCTCAGCAACAAGTACCTTGATAGGGTAACACTGGTATGCAGAACCCTGGGTCTTTCAAAGATTAAATGTTTAGTCAGAACAGAAATAATGAGCCATGAGAATAAAAAGTAGATTGCATAGTCTGTCGATTTACAAACCACTCCTCCATGTTTTATAAAATAGCCATAATATAAATACTGCACCAAAGGGCAAGTTATCGAAAAGGCTTAGAAACATCAAAGAAGAGCACAGTATA